GCTGTGACTTATCCTTAAATGCATAAGCTTTTGTTTTTCATTTCATTGACTGTTTTAGCTTGGTTGCTCCATCAAAAGTGAAAGAATATTTGTCTTTCCCTTTTACGTGCTTTTGCTGAATATGTTCTCTAAACTGCTGATTTCTTTCGGCTTGTTTGGTTTCTGAAGCTAGTGTTTCAATCTTATTTTAGTTTATTAGACTTATGTAGAAAGTGAGGAGGAAACAGCTTATTAGCTGGGCTTGCCTTCGGAGAACACTTTAGGGAACTCTTACTAAAGCCAAAGTTACCAAGTGTCTCCCCTTGATTGAGTGACTAATGGGTCATGAGTCTATTAAACTTGAATGTTTTGCAAATGGGAGCTAGTTTCCTCAAGGTATGCGTTCAGAGTTAGTGAATGTTCTTGAGGTTGCATGCTTGAACTGTGACCTATTTGCTTCTGACGCTTAGTCAAGAATAATAAATCAGCTTTTCTGAGAATCCTTCTTGTTGTTGCAAGTTCAGCCGCAAAATAAGCTTTTGTATCTTCTGCAATTATTGGGATTTATGCCTTCCTGCCTGAGAGCTGAGTTTGGCCACCTATAATTTTTCTCATTTTGAGCAGTTTAGTTTTTCTGGTTTTCAGAAATGCAGCAAACTAGATCTGCACTAGCGTATTCAGTTTCTGCTTTGAAATAAGATGAAATTCAGTTTGTAGTGAAAAGAATCTCTTCTAATGTTCATCCTGGAAGCCTAAATTCAGGTGAACAGACCAATTTAGTGATCTCCACTAGATACTTGGTAGACATTTTCTTCCTGCTGTATATTTTGGCCTTACGTTGGGGAATTTGATTTATTATTAAATTATTTGTGTATGCAGACTTTAATCTGTACCTATTTTACTTTGATGTATTAGGATTTGTAAATATGACTGATTTTTAAATATTATTTATGCACATACTTAAAGGACTGATCTACCCAGAAAAGCAATTGCTGAATAATAAATGTTACTTTTTAGAAATAAATTGCAAGATCATGAAATTGTATATCCCTCAGGGTTATTTTTAACGTTTTTTTTCTCTTCCCTTCAGATTTAATTAGCAGCAACTCTAGTTTCGTGTACTATAGAACTAAATCTACTGTAAAGAAAATGCTGCGAATAATGCTTGAGTAGAAGCGGCTAAAACACCCACAGAACTGACTGTCCATATTCATCATAACTTTAGATTGGAAACTCTTACTGTTGCACTTTTACAAACTTGTTGGATTTTTAATTCTATTTATTTTTTTCTTTCTTCATGAAGGTTGTGCTGAACAGCCATCCCAAATTGGGTAAATAATCCTGTACTGTATATTATATGTATACAGTATAATACTAAGCAGATGTGGAGTCCTTTTTATGCTGCAAATTTTTAATGCTTGTGTTGGTCATCACAAAATGAGAGCGATAAAGTTCTGTAGGATTTCTCCCATGAAATTCTGAATTGTAAACTTAGGTTTTTGTATGTCTAAGGGAAAGCTGTGGGTTTTTTGACAATTTTTAGAGTATTGAATATGTTGATTTTATACAGTAAAGCTTCAGGTTTTTAAAGCTATTTTCAACAAACTGCAGCTTGTTTAATAATTATGTGAAACAGAAAGTACTCAGTTTGTCATGAATTCGTCAAGCCTAATACAAATTAAAAGGTTCATCGTTACAGCGCTCTCTAGAAGCTCAGCTTCCTTTTTATTTTTAAATCTGAAGTGATACATCTTTGTATTTAAAATATGTATTGCTGCTCTAGAATGGTACCCTGTTAAGAGGCATACATAAATAACTGTACAATAGAATTGTAAATAGACTTGTAAATCATTTTTGTGACTGAAGCTCTTTGAAAATAAAATTAAAATGAACAGATATTTTAACTCTTTTCATTAGTTTCATGATATTGTTTTTCATTTTTTTTATACAATTAAATCCAAAGCTTTGTTGAAGGATACAGGCTTACTCCCACTGCTGTCATGGCTTTCTTGTTCGGTGCCTCTGTGTTTTTGAAGAGGGGAGTGGAGAAGTACGCGTGCTGTGGGTTAGCGGTGCGTGCGGGAGCACTGCTGGTCTGCAGTGCAGCAATATTGCCCGTACTGTCACGTGGTGACTTGACAGCTGTCTTAAAGCCAGGCCTTGTACACGTGATAGTGACTCGTTTCCACCTGCTGTTATCCACGTGTTCCTCCTGCTCTTTGATGCGTGGGAGGCATTATCTTGAAAAGACTCTTGGGCGAATGTTCCTGGTTGTGAGCTGGGGCTGTTGTCGCAGCCATCTGCAGAAAAATCACACAGAAATGAAGACATCTTTGCCATCCTGTGGCTCACCTTCCATTTAAACACTCATTGTCAGAGCCTGTTATTTTAAAATTAAAGATATTTGAAATACCTGGTTACTTCGTTATAGAAACTTAATTTTTGCTAATATTTTGTAAACTTAAAGCTTTTCTCTCTTCAGAATCTTTCAGGCTTTAGGTTCTGTTGGCCTGTCACTACAGAAGACTTGGAGGAAAAACAGAAGGCAAATGGGTAAACCTTGGATTGCTTAGCCAAAGCGTTCAGTAGAAAACTTCATTCCTTACTCACATTGCTTTGACTCCAGTCCTGCAAGAAAGCGAAAGTCAGTGCAGCCTTGTGAAGGTACCTTGGTTGTTTAAAGTAGATGTGACCACTCTTTCAAAACCTGCTGCACCTGTGTAGCAGACTGCAGTGAAACTGAGTGTCATAACAAATTTGGATTTCTTTCCGATCATAATTCATGCTGAAATTGAGCTTTCTGACTCTCGCCAGATTTGCATTGGGTTGGGTGGAGCACATGCTCCAGAATCACTGTCGGAGAAGCTACGAGTGGTTTTTGTGCTGTTGCATGTGTGACTTCAAATGTTCTTCTGTTCTGTGAGCGGTCTCAAATTCTGCTTTTGGAGTTTCATACAACCTGTGGAAGCTGGTTTCTCACACCACTAAACGTAGGCAAAATCTGCTCTGAAGCCCAAAATATTCTTTGGCTTTTGACAGTAGTTACACAAATACGGGTGAAAGTGTTATCTAGAGGATACGTTTTGCTGTTTTACTTCCCATTTAAAGTGCGGAATCATGGTGAGGCCTGACTGCCTGCTATACTTCTAGTAAGTTCCTCTAAAAAGCAGAGAAGTTTCTGAGGTACAGTTCAAAATTCCTTTTTCATACTCGTATGAGTTTGGAAACTTGCAAGAAAGTGAAGAAGTTGTTGCACATCTTCTAGCACTGCTGAGTGTCTAACCTTCTCTTGTTGAACACTCTTGCCTTTTGCTACGAGACCAGGAGAATGGACCTCCCCAGCCTGCAGTCCAGGGTTAGCCTGTTTCTTGTTCTACAGGCTCTGGCCTGCAGTCATGCCCTCTGAGGGACCTGCATTTTTCAGTCTGTAGCACAACAGTTTGGAGGGGGGGATTACTAGGAGGATGAAATTCTCTGAAAGATTCTTTTTTGACATGGAAAAGTCCTCTGGAAGCATGAAATCTCCAGGGCTCTTTCTGGCAACTCACGGTCTCATGCGGAGAGTTGCAGAAAGCCCGGTGAGAGCCTGCGTTATGGCCCTGTGTTGCTGGCAGTGGATACCGCTAGGTGCCATGTCCTTCCCTTCCCGAGGAAGGAATGTGGATTTCACCTGTCTTCAGTACTCTGAACTTAACCCAGGATTTTTTTTTTTCTTTTAAAGTACTACCTTTTGCTTTTTTTTGATGCAGCAACTGGTTTTGATCCATGGTGGTATGTTCTTGTCAGCAGCTCAGGCACGTGAGAAGCCCTGCTATTCCACCTGACTTCTTTTTAAGTGATGGGGTTTGTACCCATGTCTGTTTGTGGAGTTGGTATGGGAGAGCTTCATCCTTGCCCCTGGAAAAGGGTATTTTGGGATGGAGCCCTCCTCTCCCCGGTGTTCTCGGTGCTGAAGACCAACACGGTGTTGGCTGTTTCGGTTATGTCTGCAGAACTTGTCCGGCTATTCCAGCAGTCCCAGCTCCTGCTTCTCCTACTCATCAGCCAGGTGCTTGACTCCTAGGTTTCTGATATGCTTGCTCTTGATGATTTCACTAAGGAAGTATTTCTAAACTGTGGAGGACTCCTGTTTGACTTGCTCTTTTAAATATTATCGTTATAGCTATTGCTTTCCTGTTCTTTTTTTTGTTTGTTTGGAAATCTAGACAACTTTCCAACTTTGTGTTAGGTTTCATGCAGACCTACCTTTACTGCTACGGCTTTCTAGCTAACTTCCTCTCGTTTCATTGTGTTTTTAATACCTCTGGTAACCTCGTATTGTGTTATGCTGTTGAAATGAGACTTGTTGGTTATCAGAGGCCCCACTGATAACTACTGTCCTGTGCTGCATGAGCTCTTGTGTGTTATTTCAGGCTACGTCAAAAATAGCCTGTTGCTGCTTCTGTGTGCTTGGGCGGTTCCAAGAAGCGATTGCTTGCAAATGCTGAGAGATGGTTTCGCAGAACTGTGTGCTGTTTTGCTTTTGGACACTTAAAATGTAGGACACCCTTTTTACCTCCATTATCTATTTTTGCAGGCTAAACTTTATTTTTAAACCTCAGGTAACCTACAATAAAAAAAATATTGTGGGTGCAGGACCTTTTGTAAACTTTTTAAAAAGACTTAGTATAATGCTTTTCTGTTCAAATAAATACAGGCCTTATGACTACGTAGAGTTTCATCATTATTTTCATATGCTTTTATTATACTTGACTAGTACAAATATAAACAAGGAATACTTGATTTACATAAGAGCTTTATCTGTACTTCTCAGTGTAATCTGAGCACCTTAGGGAGATTTGCAGTCAACTGTAATAGAGACTTTGAAGTTTGCTTTCAAGCCAAGAGAAATTTTGCACACATTTGCAGGTTTTGTGACATATTTGCACAACTTTGGCTACTAAGTTACTAACTACCTGTGATCAAATCCTGACTCTCTCTTATCTCTTGTAACAGCTAATGTTTCTGGCACTTCAACAAGGATGTTGGTATTCCGTTTGTCGGTGATGATCAAGATTTTCTTCCAGTTGGATGCATCTGTTTGTCCTGAGAAATGCCACTGCTCTTCAAAAAACGCAGTTCATTGCTCTGGTCCCCACATAAAAGACCTGGAATCATTAAATCTGCCTTGCAACATGACAGAAATTCACGTAACGGACACTAATATAACATACTTGCAGGATGTTTTTTCTAGGATGGTGCAGCTGCAGCATCTCATCTTGTCTTCAAACAACATCTCTCTGATTTCACCAAAGGCTTTTAAAGGCTTGAGAAGGCTAAAAGCCCTCAAGCTGCTTGATAATAAGCTGGTCGAACTTCCCCCAGGGGTGTTTGATGACATGGTACAGCTTCAGCAACTGATCATTGAAAATAACAGGTTGAAATCCATCGAAGGAAATCCGTTTGACAAACTAGCTAGTTTGGAGGAGCTTTTCTTGAACAAAAACCAACTGACAGCACTTCCTAGCGGCGTGCTGAAGAAACTTGCCAAACTGAGACTACTGAACTTGTCAAGAAATTATTTGGCAGCGCTGCCTGGAAATATATTTAGTGCATTAACCAGGCTTGAGAAGCTGATGCTGTATTTTAACAGGCTGTCTTCAGTAGAGTCTGGTGTGTTTGATAGCCTGAAGGAGCTGCTGGAACTCTTCCTGCATTCCAATAACATCCAGTCCATCGCCCCTGATGCATTTCATTGTCTTCGTAAGCTGAGAAGCCTAACGCTCTCAAGAAACAAGCTTGAGGCTTTGCCTCCTGAGCTCTTTCTGCACTTGCATGACCTGTCTAAATTGACCTTGTACAGGAACCCACTGAAGTCTCTCCCAGAAGTATTGTTCGGAGAAATGAGGCATCTTGGTAGCCTGTGGCTGTATCACACAAAGCTCTCAACAATACCAGATTTTGTGTTCAGTAACTTGACGAATTTAGAGCTGCTTGTGCTGAGTTTTAATCCAGAGCTTAGTGTTCTTCCTAAGAATGTGTTCAGTGGTCTGAATGAACTGCGGGGCCTTTCTCTGCACACAAATAATATTTCCAGTCTGCCAGAGGGCATCTTGCTGAGCCTTCCGAAACTGCAGAACATATCCCTTTTCAATTCGAGGCTTGAGGTTCTTCCTAAAAACCTCTTTCATAATCTCAAGCACCTTCAGAAAGTTTACCTGAACAGCACTAAGCTGCAGTCTCTTCCCGGAGATTTCTTTACCACTTTACCTGAGCTGCAGGAAGTCTTCCTTGATGGCAACCCTTGGAAATGCAATTGTCAGATTCTTGGCTTCCAAGAGTGGCTACAGAAGAGCACGGAGATAGTTAAAAATACGCCATCTCTAACATGTGACAGCCCACTAGCACTAAAGAATATTTCTCTTGTGGCTCTAACAGATGATCACCTGAAGTGCCTGCCAACCACAGCCATTCCATACCTGATGTTCAGCTCAGCGTATTCCCAGGCTTCAACCTCTCTGGTGACAGAGCACTTGATATCATCTTGGGAGACTACTGTAACAGCAGTGTCCAAAATGGAGACCAGCACACCTGCATCAATTCCTCTTGCAACTCCAGGTTCTTTATACTCACATGTTCAAGATGTTGGATGGCCTAGGTTGCATTTCTCAGATGTTCTAACCCAAGCTTCTCCCAGCGTCATAGTAGACGCCAGCAGTGCTGGAGGAACAGATTTAACTACTCTTGCCTGGTGGGATGAGCTGCCAGCCCGCAGGAGTGCCAAGTTCTATTCTAATACTAGAATTGCTTATTGTCAGCTATTCTTGTGCCTTCACAGTTTGATTTTGGTACTCCAGACTGTAACCATTGTTCTCAGTCTGTATGTGATAAGTAAAACCAGGCAGCTTTTGCACTTCAGAAATACTCCTGTTCAGCCTGTAGTTCTGTTGAAATTTTTAAGAAAGTAGGGAATACCAGCCAAAGAGGGGATTAGAAGCACCATTTTGGATGCATGTTGAGCATTTGGGTAGTTCACACTTGATTCACATATGGATTACAAATCTTGATGGCAAGAGTCACAAAGACCTTGCTTTTACAGCATAATGAGAACGTGCTTTTACGTACCTTGCAGTGTTTGCCAAAAGGGACTGCAATACAGCAGTTGGTGCATGAACCCAGAGGGAGAGCTGAAGGAAAATCTGTGGTCACCTCTGCGCGGTGCTGCTGCTTTCCTGCTTTGGGCTGCAGCCCTGTCCCGGCCAGACACCGCTGCCGGCTGCCGTGCTCACGCTGCTCAGATGGAAGGGCCACCGGCATAGGGAAGTCTCCGCAGGAAGATGGCTTTAACTGTGCTTTAAGGGCTGCCTGTGCTACTCCGTATGCTATTATGCCTTATCCTGCCTGCAGTGTTTTGTCTCCTTATTGTGAAAAGAAATGGTATTTTTTGGAGGAGATGCTGGAAAAGACCTTTTGAAAATGAAGGTGGATGCAGAATGATGTGGTGCAAGCACCTTTACTTTTTGCTTTCTGTGCTCAGCCCCTTTCCAGGACGTGGCAGGAGGAAGGGGTACCATTTAAAGCTAACAGTGCTTTCCTCTAGCTTAACCAGGGGAAAGATAAGTAAGATGCTGGACTAGGAAGTGTAATCTTGATGTATTTTGTTGTTTATTTTTTGGAAACTTTGTGACATTACTGGAAATCTGAATTTTGAGTAAACACTTTCATCCTTAAACTTTGACCAGTGCTCTGAAAAGCAAGGCATAACTCGCTGCACAATGCAGTGAGCCTTGAAACCAGAATGCCAGGCAGATGCCCAGGACCGAGGCTTGGCTGCGGAGGAGCGCAGGTGGTTTGAGAGCTGGTCGCGACGGAGCTGGGAGAAGGGATGGTCTTTCCTGGGCTTGGCTAGCAAAGCAGAGGCGTGCAGCGAGGTGGCAGAGAGCCTGCCGGATCTGAGGGCCCTGAAGTGTCGCCACCTTTTTTGAAGCTGGCTGGGGAATATATGCATCTCCATCTAATTGCAGGGTGCAGTAGCATTTTCAGTCTCAGTACTTCTTACCTTTTCTTATTCTGTAGTATTACTCCCTGACTTCCAGCCCTTTCAAGTGTTGATATGCAAAGACAACTACAAGGCAAGAGTGTGGGTTTTGGTCTTCATACTGAAACAATTTTTAATATTTTGAATTATAGGAGTATCTTAGTTTGTAAGTAGACTGGTTGCTGTCAGACTGCGTGTGCTTTGGTGGCTCTTGGATTTAACTATTAGCTTTTATCTTAATTATGTGACTTAGCTTGTTCTTAAAAGCTCTTGACGTGCTCAAAAGCTAGGGCTGGATTAAAGAGCCTCTGGATGTGGTTCCCTGGCTCCCTGGGCAGGAGAGCCTGTACTCTAGGAGTCCTTTTGCAGCCTTACTGACTTGCTGACTATGCAGGTCTTTCCTGGATGGCCTTGAAATGGCACTTTACAAGCTGGAGATGAAGAGAGCTTGCATTTGCTGCAGGTTTGTGGCTTGTTCCCTGTTGTGTGCTACTCTGAGCGATGAGAATAAACTATGGACTGCTTTGCTTCAGGGTGCTCTGCTGCTGGACTCGAGTTCCTGTTCTAGGCCATGAAAAGATGCGGTGTGCTTCTCTAGAGTTAAATAACCATTGTCTTGCTGGTGAGGTTTAACAAAATTTAGCAAGCCTGGCTAAATGGTAGGTAGAGCCATCTCTAAAGGAGGAGAAATGTGAGTTGCTACAGCTGGTGCCAAGCAAGCTGGGAATGTATTCATGAACAGAAGCACCAGAATACTGATTGCAAATATATTTGAGAAGCACAAAGCCAACATGAAGCGTTCTTGGTGGTGGTTCTGGGTTGTTACATGCTAGTGCTTAAAAAGAGGCAGTTGTTACAAATTTAGGTTCTTGGTCAGGCAACTGTAATGACCACTTAGCGTTGTTCCAGCTCCAGTGCCGTTGTACTGGTGCCACGCAAGCATCTGCTCGCAGCAGGCAGGAGATAAATGTAATCTGGACTAACGAGGGAATTGTTCTACAAACCATGCTGGTTATTGTTCGCCTCGGTGAGGCAGCAAAGAAGTGCGCTCGTGGCTATGGGCGCTTGGACTTCTAGAAAAAGCAGCAGTTCCGTCGCCACGTGCGCGTGCACCACCCTGATGCCTGAGCCCGGGACGAGCGGCAGGTCCCTCCTCTCCAGCCAGACGGGGAAGTGAAGTCAGCAGACAACAAAAGGCTGGAGCAGTGAGGGCCGGGGCTGTTTCACTAACCCTTCCTCTGAGGTGTCCCTGTTTTGAGCTGCCTCTGAGTCATCGCTTGTTGCCCAGCAGAGCTCAGCCTTTCCTGCAAAACCCCCTGGCCTGGGAAGTCCGAGGAGATGCTTGCTTACACCCCATCTCT